TTTTTTTTTTTTTTTTTTTTTTGTAGTCATAGACCACAGAGTCAAAGATTCCCTAGGATCTAATCCATGTTCACAATTTTCAAAAAAGAATGTTAAAAATACTCTTAAAAAGTTTAATAGAGTAGAGAAAAAGGTGGAGAAGCATTCCTTCCTAACCCCCAAAGGTTAGAGACTATTATTCTGGTTTATCCATTCATTGTCCCATTCGCCTGCTACCAACATCTTTACTTTTGTCATTACTGAATTCCTTCAATTAAGAAAACATAAAAAACACTGCAACAGCAAGAAAATAAGGAAACAAGACAGTTGGAAACCAACGTAGTTTTGATTATTGTGATGGGCTTGCAACAAAATAATAAGACACAAGAAAACAACCATAACTTTTTCAACTAATTAATATTTATATTTCATATCATATATATTTTTCAGTATTTCATGTAGAAGGAAGAAGACAAGAGAACTCACAGGCGGCGTGGTCGATGTATCTGAATGGCGATGCCCAGAGAGAGACGGCATGTCAGTTTTGGTGGTACTGAAGCCTTGATGAAAAGTCAGCAGTCAGCACTTGATGAATCACTGATCCCTATGAAATAAAATAACAAGGTTGCAACCTTTAATGATAATACTAACAAACAATAGCTACGCAGTTGATCCGGTAAAAGACAAATTTCAAACTAAATTTGGGTCAAATCTTGCTCATAATCGACCATGGAAGAAAACACACGCACCAAGCAGCACTGTTCCCGAGTCTTCGACAGAGATGATTATCAATACTTCATTGTCCAAGACGACATATTCATGCAAAAATCTAATCAAACATTGTCTCCTCAATTTCAGCTCCTTGTTTTCTTTTGAAAAGCTAGCTTTCCACTACTACGAGTACATGACCACGTTAAATAAAAGGCTTTGATTAGTTCTATCTGTTTCCTTTTTGACAACCAAATATAAACTATTTTCTTGCCATCCTTGGAAACTGGAATTAGAACAGCCGGCGAAACTCATGGAGTCCCATGGTTTGATATCCTCCTGCTCTTAGGAAAATGTTTTCTTGCTTTCATTCTCTTTTATCGCTGGAAGGAGGGGAAGGATATCTGAACTTTACATAAAAACTCATGACTCATATTTACGTGCTGTGACATTAACATAAACCTTCTGCGGATTCTATAAAAGTAACAGTAGAACAAAGTTTGAGTTACTTCTTTGCAAAAGAGATAGCCATGGGATGTTGGGGGTCAATTTTAAAGCCTTGAAGAGCCTGCATCGCCATAGAGGATTGAACATCATCTTCAAACTCAACAAAAGCAATGCCCGGCTTCGATTCAATCATTCGAACCTCCCTGAATCCAGGATATTGTTGGAAGAGAACTTGCAACATCATACTAGAGGTTTCATGTGGTAAATTCTCAATAAATAGTATGTTGTTTGGAGTAGCTTCTGCAGTGCTAGGATTTGCGTGACGGAATGTGGCCTGCATGAATGACACAACGAAGAGGCTTGCTTAGAAAAACTGATTATGTATAAATGTTGGTTAACGTTGCTGATCTAAGGGGGCACTGAAATGAATCCAATTCGAATAAACATTAATGTCTTTCCAACAAATGCAAGGAAAAAAACAATCAACCAGCAAACCACACCATCCAAAAAGACCCATACAACTTATGCTTGGACCACTTCTAGAGTAACAATAAAACGAAACAGCTCATATGAAGAAGGAAACTAAACATTTTACATCACAAAAAATAAAACAAGATTGAAAAGAAACATACATTTGAACCACCATTCTCAGCAGTTGTTCCATTGGGCATGGAAGATTGGTGTGCATCTTCAGTGCGTTGCTTTCTTTCAGCTGGATAAGCAAATTAAGAGATAATAGGAAACACAAATCAGTTTAAAACCCTAAAGGTCTTTTAAAACCAATGCAATAAGAAAATGAGAGGTTATGTCCATCAACTCAAAAAGCCATATGTTTAACTTAAAGATTATGTCCACCAAAGAAATTCAAAACAAAGAGTACATATATAGTAAAAATCACCTTTTTCCACAAGCTTCTTTTTCTTCTCCCTTGGCACAAAGCTTCCGTCAGCTTTAGCAATACAATCTGATTTGGTTTTGGCATATTGAATTCTCTGCAAAAGAAACAACGAAAGTCATCTTCATATTTTTGAGATGGGCAACAGAAAGTCATTACTATAATAACCATTAGAATAAGTTGTATGAATGAGCAAAATGAAGATGCAAAAATTTCCAAGATGAAACAAAGATAACTGAAGTTTAAAACTAAAAGAGATTATAGTAAAACTTGTTTCTTCCAAAAAGAATCGTGGATACATCTCCAGTCATGTTCTTTTTTTCTTTTTTCTTTTTTCTTTTTTGATATTTATGAGTGTGCAGCCTAGCTTGCGTGCACCTCAACTTACATCGTCTAACTCTATAACATTTTGGGTGCCAAGAAAACTCGTAGGATATTTCCTAGGTAGGTGACCATCATGGATTGAACTCATTTCCTCTAAGCCTTTTATTATACCCAAGTTAGAAAAATGAGAAGAATTCCTTTTGTTCAAATTACAACAGAGATCAAAGATTCAGTGGCAACATTTAAAGTAGTAAAAAAGCATGTAATTCATGATAGATGGCCCTCGTTGACAGAAGATATGTTAACATACAGGATTTACAAAGAGGGACCTCAAAATGCTCAAAAAAGGCACATAGCCAATAGATAGACGCATATGTCCAAAAGGTTAAAACATTATTTAGGGCATGCAAGGCAGCTGAACCGGCAAAATATTGAGTGTTATTATGTATAGAGACCGCTCTCCATGCAACACTCATTGAAGCACAATCAGGATTCAGTGGATGAAATGCCACAAAGACTATGAAAAGCAAGTTCAGAAAATGTGATAAGCTAAAGACCAACCATAGGTTTATCATAGAATGGGAAGTTTTGCATCTGCCGCACAGCATTGCTAGCTGCAGTCACTTCACTAAATGCAACCCATGCCTGCCCTCGAAGCCTCGGTGTCTTCAAGGCAACAACGTCGAGAATCCTTCCATAATGAGAAAACAAAGCATAAAGGGATCTCTTCAATTCTGTCCAATGGGGAGAAAATTAGTATACCATCAAATCTGAACACTAAAAGAACGTAGGTTCAAATCACCCACTCCACATCATGTGATGTAATATCGGTGGAAACTAAGCAACCAAATCAGTAATCAAAATCCCATATGCTACGGGAATGAGTAAAGCAAGTAGCCGTCTCCAAATCCAAACTAAAATTTCAAGATATCAATTCCTTCACCCTAACAACCAAATTCTAACTATGATAGTTGTACATTCTCGAGTGATTACTGTGTGCATCATCAGAAATATAATTTACTGTATTAAAAACAAACCAAACTTTGCCAAAATATCATTTCTGTGTGGCATGAATTTTGAGAGACGAAGGCGAAATGACGAACTTAAAATGTCCCGCAAATCACTTCAATTATTCGTTGTCGACTAATGGATAAGAAGAAATCACATTTACACGGGATAGAGTAGGGTTAAGCAAAAAGCAAAGAGTGAATCACCTTCTTTCTTGACCTCCTCATTGAGATTCTTGATGTATATGCTCTGGTTAGGTGGTATATCGCCCGATAACATGGTGGTTCACGTTCAGGGCCTTCGGCTTACAGAGAATCACGGAGCAACGGACAGAAATCTGGTTTTCCGAATGCGCAGTGAGAAGGAAACTTGTCGGAAGCAGAATAGAGCCTTATCAAGCAAAAGGCTCTAGATCGTACTCCAAAGTTTCCTTGGGCTGAGGCCTAAATGGCCCAACAAGAATCACAATTTCATTGGGCTGAGGCCTTTCTCAACTAGCAAAAGTACCATTCTATCCCCGAAACATAGAAATATAGCAACTTTTACCCCATCTGCTTGGCGCCGTGTTAGGCTGTTAGCAGTGGGCGCGCTCTTCAGAGTCCGGCGAAACCCGAAACCTCGCGTTCATCTTCATTCTCATTTCCGAGCGCCGGAAAACTTTGAGGTCAATTTTTTAGAGCATCAGCGCTGCCTCTAAGCACCACCTCTGCAATCGAAATCCTTCTCCTACCCTATCTCTTGTTTCAAATTACTCAGCTAAGACCACCAAATCCACCGTTAAGAAGGGCAAGTCCAAGGCCGACGCTAAAGCCGCCGATGATCCCTCCGCCTCCGCTGCTGCTTCAGACGAATTAGATGCGGCGCTTTCTGATGATGATCCCTCATTCGATGTTGGCACATATGGTCGCCCTCTCTTTACCTCCGCATCTTCACTCTCACAGCTCACTCGCAAGGATGCAGGCAATTATTTCTAATTCAAGTACGTATCTGAAGTCGTTTGGATCGCTAACTCATGTTTTTATTATTTTATTTTTGGTCTTTTTAACTCTCGAACCTTGTATGTGCATCAGATTTAGACATGTAGTTTATTGGTATATTTCCTAATTCTATTGACAAAAGTTAAATCTCTCTAACCATGTTTGGAATCTTAACAAGGGAAACGGTCTCTCATGATCATGATTGCTTAGGGTTGCTGGCTGGTTAATGTTTTATGCCAAGTGTTTACTGTCTTGTGATAAGCTTTCAGGAGATCATGTGAGGACTGTGGATAATATGAAACAGTGACCCATTCACTTTACATTGTCCTCTTTGAGCTCTCCCTTTTCAATCGCGTTTATTAGGGAGAGATTTCCACACCCTTATAAAGAATAGTTCGTTCCCCTCTCCAACTGATGTCAATTGCTATGGCTAAGTCAAATTTCTGAACCTATACCGTTGACAGAGGGCATTGGCGTTGGGATGGTGAAAGGGGCTGATTGCATGAGGATGCCTGTGGGTTCAACTGTATATATGACTTAATTGATACTGGAATCAAGCACACTCATGCGGCTGTTGGGGTGGTTGTTCGTTTAAGAAAAGAACTATCGCTTGTGAAAGATATTCCTGTGCTCATTGCTATTGATCAAGTGAGGCACAAATCTAAATCTACCCTTTTTTTGATTTCTAATAGTAAGTTTCTTGGATGAATTAAATCTTCCAAAATTAATTTTAATCGCAATAATAATTGTTACTTCTTGTACAGAATGACAACTGGTTTACGTTCAGTGAGTATGAAGAACCAGTGACTGTTCGTTCTACTCCGCCAATACGTTGCTAGAGAACTTGCAATGGTCAGTACTAAGAACTTGTTTGATTCATTTCGTTGTCTTCTATTCATATCGTTGTCTTCCATCCTTTTTGTAGCTTGTATGGATTCCATGGCCTGAAAATTTTAATTTTTGCTGTGAAACTTATGTCCCTCATTTCTTTTATTTATTTTTCTGGTTAAATGTTCGGGACTAAAAAATAACAGATAGCTTTCTCTTCTCCTTTCTATTAGATACCTTCCCAATTTACAGTGGGGGAGGATAACTATAGAAAGCGAAAATATTAGACAGTTAATGTAATGACCGGACTTTCTGCACATGTAGTGGTCGGTGTCGTCACTTAACAACAAAAAAATTATAATTTAAAATACATGCAAACATGCTAAAGATAATTTACCAGAAAAAGTCATGCTTGGGTACCCCCTTCTAAATAATTTAAAAACATGTCATTTAACTAAATAGTTTCACAATAAGGTAATTAAAGAAAACGATAACGTTTCTGAATTTCCTAGTTCCCATAAACTAGGGATGTTCAAACCAAACTTAAAATAGTAAAATCAGTTAAATGGGGAAGCGTCTTAAATAATAAATTAGAACATAAAACTCTAAGTTGTCTCATGATCGTCATTTCCACCCTGCTCGTCATTTCTATGATACAGTCTTGCCCTTACCTGAAAATCATTTTAAAATAGGGTGAGTATGAAAATACCCTAGACTCAAGAGAGAGCAAGAGAGGGGTATGGTGGGTGGCTAGGGTTGAGTCCTTTCTTGTTCTCTTTGTGCACACAGCCCAAGGACTGTCGCCGCCTCTTGAGTCTAGCATATTTTCATACTTACCCTGCTTGGTTGGTTCAAATTTTCAACCAGTGTTAATTTTTAATACTGTTTTGGAGGAGGAAAACCTGGATCATATTCTTTGAAGATGTTCTTTTGCTCGATCTATTTGGAGGTTTTTATTGACGTGTTTTGTATTCAATTAACTAGACACTAGGAGTTCCTTCTCCATCCATTGTTTTGAGAGAGGGGCAGGTTCCTGTGGCAAGCCGTGGTTCGTGCTTTGTTATGGGGTCTTTGGGAGGAGAAGAACAATAGAACCTTAAAGAGGAGTTGAGAGGAGTCCTTGTGACGTCCTTCCTTCAGGTTCTATGTTTCTCTTTGGGAGTTGATGACAAAGTCTTTTTCTAACTATTCCATAAGTTTTATTCTTCTTGATTGGCATCCCTTGGGCTCTCTTTTGCAGGCTTAGTTTTTTTTTTTTCTTTGCAGGTAAAAGCTTTTATTTTAGGTCTATGATGCAGGATGGCATGATGGTTGGTGCTTCAAGACTTGCCAGATGTTCCTCTAGGTGCACGTGTTAATTTCCCTTGCTATAGTCTAGATGAAGCGGCTTCTGTTTTCCAATTTCCAGTACTACCACAGGTATGCTTATATTGTTTTTATTTTGAAAAGAAACTAATTAAAATTAAGAATGTAATATAAACAGAAAAAGGAATCTTTACAAAAGCTTTGTTTGGTCAAGGATTTAGATTATGCCCCAATTTGGATATCAGAGGAAATAAGAGTTTTAAGGAGTTAGCTGTCTTAACGTTGTAAAATCTCATAAAATAAAGAAGGCGGTATTGACTTAATGATACTAGATGAACTAGACTTGTTAATTAGAGGGACCCAACAAACTTTGGAGAGTCTTCAGGTCTGGATTCCTACAAACTAGTTAAAGGCGTCTGAAATTTCTCCTGTACGCTCCTAGTATGAGAACTCCTAGTATGAGAACTGTAATAGCCTCAACCCACCGCTAGCAGATATTGTCCTCTTTGAACTTTTCCTTTTAGACTTCCTTTCTAGTTTTTTAAAACGTGTTTGCTAGGGAGAGTTTTCCACACTCTTATAAAGAATGTTTTGTTTCCTTCTTCAACCGATGTGGGATCTTACAATTCACCCCAAGATAAAGAATGTTTTGTTTCCTTCTCCAACCGATGTGGGATCTCACAAATCACCCCAAGATAAAGAACGTTTTGTTTCCTTCAACCGATGTGGGATCTCACAATTCACCCCCTTCGGGGCTAGTGTCCTCGCTGACACACCGTCCGGTGTCCACCCCCTTTTGTGGCTCAACGTCTTCACTGGCACACTGTTCGGTGTCTAGCCCTAATACCATTTGTAACAGTCTAAACCCACAACTAGCAGATATTGTCCTCTTTGGATTTTTCTCTCAAGGTTTTTAAAATGCGTCTGGTATAGAGAAGTTTTCACATCTTTATAAAAAAATGTTTCGTTTTCCTCTCCAACCGATGTAGGATCTCACAAGAACAATGGACAAAACAAGGGACCATGATTTATCTCCATGTGCGTAGTGGGTTGGATATCTTTTCGGAACCACATATTTGTATTAGTTTTCTACTTGATATTATTTTATTTTTTAGAAACCGAGATTTGAAAAACATAAAAGATTGTACAAATGAGCATATAAAATTTAGTTTTTTAGGCATAGCAGAATTCATAATACCAATAAGTTGCTGCGGTGCAGTTGTCAACTTACTGTCGTTGAGGTGACCCAAGCGCTCGCCTATGGTGAGAGGCGAGGCAACCTGAGGCCTGTGCGCCTTGTAACCAGCTGGGGCGAGCGACTTCAATCAGGCACTTGCCCCACTGCACGCAGTGCAAGGCGTTCACCCCCTTGTGATCATGCTAAAATCAAAACAGAAAAAATAAAGCTTCTCCGTGACTCGATTATTATTGGAATGAGTATTGTTCTTGTACGGCATTGATATTTTATGTAAATATGTTTACATAAACTTATGATCTTTATTTATTACGTCTCGCTTCGCTGAGGTGTCACTTTGATGAGTCAATCAAGGTGCGCTATTAACTTTGAAAAAACTAGTACAATTATGTCCTGAAGTTCTAAAGATTCACATAACCTATCTTTACGTGATAATATTTGATACAGTTCTTCTTGACCTAAGTGACGTTGATTTGAGTAGAAATTATATGTATATATATTTAAAAGAAGTTAAAAATTGATAGTTAAATTTTCTTTTTAGTTAAATTACATCCATGTTTGCCAAATATTAAACACAAAATTAAATAATATATAAAGAAGTATTTATGGGAAATGTTACGCATAGGGTGATGTCAAAGACGAAGCCTTTTTCAAGAGAGTCCTGGGATTATGGCTATGTTCTGTTTTTGGGTATCATTTGTTGAGTATTTAAGGCTCCACTCTAAAACAGCCTCACAATGTCCACGCTCGATTCAAATCACCCTTTTCTTTGATTTGCTTATCTCCTTTTCCCACACACTTTGTTTTACACCTTATACACTTAGAGTTTGCTATCATTTTTCAACCGGTTTCATAAAAATGCTAACTTTCACATCATACGAATTTTTAAAAGTTTCAATATCACCCTTATATTTTTTAAAATTTGTTAACAAAGTATTGTTAATAATTTAAAAGATTGCCTTAAATTTTCATAAACATCATTTATATTAAATTTTTACCAAAAGAAAAATTTTAAAATACCCTTTTATTTTCAAAAACTTCTATTAATACATATTTAAATTACCATTACAATTAATATAAAGTACAATATTTAAAAAATATTCACAAAAAGATAATAATAATAATAACAAAAAGTTGAATGAATTTGAAATTGATTATTATTATTATTATTATTATTTTAAGTTTTAAGGATATTTTTATACTTTTATTAAAAAATTAAGAATATTAATAAAAATTAGAATATTTTTTTTAGAGGGGAATACAATTAAATATTATTAAAATTTATAAAAGTTTAAAAATATTATTGAAATAAATGTGAAATTAGTGATATTTTTATTAATTGAGCAATAATTAAGCGTCATACTGTGGGATGTTTCAATGAGAAAACCCTACAGAAATCAACAAATTCACAAAAAGTTAATTATTATTACTTTACCAAAATTTAATATACCTACACCCATGTAAATCACCCATTAATGTTGAATGTAAATGGCTTATATTGCACCACATTTTAGTTACCAAAGCCACAATATTTTATGATTAATGTTGATGCACGATTTTGTACTACGTGACGTATTAACCGACATAAATTTCGAGGTGAGCTAAGCTCTGACCATCCGTTGGGATGACCTATCAACTTTTTTTTACGTAAACTATTATGCATGACTACTTATACTCTCATGTTTAAGTTGGTACTAAGTTTGATCGATGTCAAAATGAATTCGTAGAAGAAGTTTTGAATCTATATTTCCAATCCAGATTTAATATAAATTTAATAAAAACATTAGGAATGTTTATTTGACAATTTAATTTTTAATGTTGTAATTTGTCCATTCGAAAAGGGTCAACGTTGTTACACCGCTAGCAAATATTGTCATCTTCGGACTACCTCTCAAGGTTTCCACCCACTTTGTTTAGGTGATTTGAAGTAAACATTTGATGGCATTAATTAATGAAGTGGTAGGGAAGTAAATAAAGGTCAGGATCGTGGCCCATATTCTTTTCCTTCCACCAACTCAACCCTTATTTCTCCAAAATTCAAGAACCTGACGTTGGGAGTTAAAAATGTCCCTCACAAAATTTTATATTTATACCTCACTTTTGTTTATATCATTAAAGTAATTATAAATATTCTAGAAAATTAAATAATTAAATATATTTATTTAACACCACCGTTAAATTTTATTTTGAATGAGAATCTCTCGATTAAACTAGTATTATTATTATTATTATATTAAATAATAATTATGATTATGTTTTGTTTATGAAATATTATTGTGTATATTATGATATGTTATAATCAATATGTTGTTTACCGTAGTATTGTACTTTTCCTTTCCTTTTCCTTTCCAGTTAGGTTAAGAATGAGAGATAGAAGTAAGTCTGTTAAGAATGAGAGATAGAGGTGAGATTTTTGCCCGTGGATCTCTTTTTTATTTAATTGGTGGAATACTGGTCCATCCTATTTTTTTTTTTTTTTAATGATATTCAAGAAAGCAGAATTACAAAAAAAGTTAGAGAATTAGAGGAACTCTTTCTCTGGGACAAAATGTTAAAGGAATACTCGGAAACACATCTATAAAAGCTTATGATCCAATTGATCAAGATGCACAATGAGGATCCTATCCATACGATTTTGCACTTCTCACAAATATAATCTATTTCATTATTCTATTCTTGGTAATGGATTTATTCTGTTCACAGCTACCAATTTATACCTAAAAATAGGAGGAAAATATAAACTAACTAATACCGTTAATCAAATCTTAACGTAAAAATATAAATATAAACATAAACTAACTAATACTGTTAATCAAATCCTAACATAAAATATCAAATATTAATGGATATCTAAAATCAAATCCTAATATAAATTAATTATTATAATATATCAAATATTAATGGATATCTAAAATCAAATCCTAATATAAATTAATTATTATAATATAAATGCGTACATGTTTCTTTGGAAGAAGGAAAATGAGGTTTCTAGAAAAAGAAACTTATTTTTTATAATTATTGTTTTTAGTAATATGAAGCGTAGGTGAGTACGTAATTTGTTGTATTTAGGGAAGTGTAGGATGAAAACATCCATTCACCCCTTTGAGGGAGGGAGATTTAATCAGGGTTGGGACACCCATGCAAATCACTCCATGACTGTGTCAAGGTGGTGGTCTGTAATGCACCACATTTTAATGACCACACCACCACCGATTCTCATTTCCATAAATAACATTCATTCCTCAACCAAATCATCCAAATTAATTACCTCCCTTGTATCTGACTACAACTACAGAGCGTGCGTGCTCTGTGTCATGCCTTCCTCTGTCTTTCAATGGCTCAGCCTCCTCGGAATCATATGGCTTCAGTCCATCAACGGCACCAATTTCAACTTCCCCTCTTACTCGTCCCCACTCAAGCACCACCTTTCCATCTCCCAATTCCAACTCAACAACCTCGCATTCGCCTCCGACGCCGGCAAGCTCTTCGCCTGTGTCTCTGGCCTCGCTGCTAACTATTTACCCCTTTGGTCCCTTCTCATCATCGGCTCTTGTCTTGGCCTTGTCGGCTACGGCGTCCAGTACCTCTTCATCACCAACCAATTCCACTCCCCTTCTTATTGCCTCATCTTCTTCCTCTCTGTCCTCGCTGGAAACAGCATCTGCTGGATCAACACTGTCTGTTACATCGTCGCCATTAGAAATTTTCCCTCAAATCGCCAAGTGGCGGTGGGGATATCAACCAGTTACCAAGGATTAAGCGCCAAGATCTATACGGATATTGTCGGGTTAATATTCTCGAAACGATCTGACAAAACAGCCGAGACATTCCTTCTGTCCAACTCTGTTTTTCCGTTGGGTGTTTGTGTTTTGGTGTGTCCAATGGCTAGAATTGTCGAATTGGTGGAAGAGAAAGGAAATTTGGAAGTTGGGTTTTTTGTAATTTTTGTGATAACCATAGCCACCGGCGTTTTTGCGGTGGTTACAAGCGTTGGGTCGATTTCTAGAATGTTGTCGCCATTGAGTGGGCTGGTCGGGATTTTGGTGTTCCTGCTCCTTCCGGTGGTGGTTCCGGTGGTAGAGAGTGTGAAGAAGTCAGTAAGAGAAGGAAAAGAGAGAAGGGTTTATCACTCTACAATGGAAGAAGATACGAGAATCCGACCGGAAAATGAGGCGAAATTGAACAGAGACGGCGGCGATGAGGCAATGGAGGAGATCGGAGCGATGGAAATGCTGAAAAGAGTGAACTTTTGGTTGTATGTTGGTGTTTACTTTTTTGGTGCAACTTTGGGATTGGCGTTTTTAAACAATTTGGGGCAAATAGCGGAGTCGTGGGGAAGCGAGAGTGTGTCGTCGTTGGTGTCGCTGTCGTCTTCGTTCGGCTTCTTTGGGCGCCTAATGCCGTCGCTTCTGGACCATTTTTTGTCGAGGTAAAATCAATGTGTTCTAAAACAAGCTTCTTGTGGGTGGGTATGTAATATGTATGACGAAATTTGGGTGGTTTTATAAATGGCGCAGGAGGAAGATGATGAAATCGAAGCCGGGTTGGCTGGTGGCATTGATGGGGGCAATGTGCGGGGGGTTCTTCTTCCTTCTTTCGGGGCCGACGGATCTGATTCTGTGCGTGAGCACCGCCGTAATTGCAGTGTGTACGGGCGCAATTACTTCGATTTCCGTGTCCACAACCAGCGAGCTATTTGGGGCCAATAATTTTTCAATAAACCACAACGTGGTGGTTGCGAATATACCTTTTGGGTCGTTTCTTTTTGGGTACATGGCGGCTTATCTTTACCGGAAGCAAGCGACGGGTGACACCGGGAAATGCATCGGAGTTGAGTGCTACAGAACCACTTTTATGATATGGGGTTGCTTGTGTTCATTGGGGACTCTGCTGGCTCTGCTTTTGTTCGCTCGTACTAGAAGCTTCTACTCTACAACCAAGTCGCCGATGGCGCAGGGCTCTACGTAGAACAAGGCTGTACGGCTTTTTGTTTTTTGTATAATACCACTCGACTCTTTTAAGTTTTCTTAGTTTGACACGCTAATATATTTGGACGTTGTACTTTGTGGTTTCGGGTTCCATAGATTGTCTATTTTCAAAGAAATGAAATTGACTCAATTTCTTCTTCTTCTTTAAATCAAAATTTGAAAACCATTTAAATTCTAAGAAAAATTTCAAAAAAATAATTTTAATTTTATTCCATATTTTTTAAAATTTATGGATTTAGTGACCCTATACGATATTTTTAAAATTTAAATTCATATTAAACTTAAATTTGAGAATTAGAGGACATATTAGAAATGTTTTCTGAATCTTAGAGATCAAGTGCTTCTCTGTTAGGACAATGATATGAATGATATGATATTGTTCATTTTGAGCATAAGCTAACGTGACTTTGCTTTGGACATCCCTATACTTTGAGCATAAGCTATCGTGGCTTTTGCTTTGGACATCCCTAAAAGGCTTCATACCAACGAAGATACTCGTTTACTTATAAACCCATGATCATTCCCTAAAGGACTGACTCCCAACAATCTTAACAGTCTACTCGTCTTCATATCCGCCACCTATGCTTAAATTAGCAATGTGGTACTCACTCCCAACAATCTTAACTGTCTTCTCCATCCCCGCCACCTATTTCATGCAAAATTTTTCATTGCCACCTATTCAAAAAATTTCATTTATTTTTGAGGGATCCCACTTCTAGTCTTTTTTAAATTAGTATTTATAATTGTTCAAAATATATTTATATATTTATATTAAATATATAAATATTTATATTAAATGGAGCAAAACAGGGACATATAATATAATCTCGTTCTTGGCCTCAATCCTCTCCTTAGCCAGTCCCCACTAACCTGCCTCTCCTTAGCCAGTCCCCACTAACCTGCGCATACAATGAATATATCTGGTGAGAGTAAAAAGTGGTAACTTGTAATTTACCTAATATATTTACATAAAAACGGAGGAAGTTCAAATTTTTTTAGTTTACAAAGGTAGGGGGTGGTTTGAAAGTTGAACTAAATTAGGAAAAGAATTAACGATGAAGACGTTTTATATTTGAGAAAGAGTGAGAAATTGAAGCTCAAACGGTTGTCCAAACCTCCATCACTAATTTTTATACATTTATTTAATGTTTACCTAAACATAACCTCATTTCTTTAATTCTATTTTATTACATCTCCAAACTGTCCTATCCTACACTACCATTTGTGGGACTAACAAATAAATACAGAACATATTCAACTTAATATTAGACATTTCCAGGGACTTATTATGTAATTTCTAAAAATAAAATATTTATTAAGCACAATCTATTTTAAAGGTTGATATTGGAAATAAACCCGACTAAATTCGTAATTTAAGTGAAAATAAGACCCTGAATTCAAGCTTCCGCTCCCGGGAATGGAAGTCAAATGCGTCCCGCATCAATAAACTTACGTGGGCCATCCTTTGCATTTACGACGCCCATCTGCTAAAGATTTGATTGGGACGACGCCGTTTTGGGCTGATGTAAATATAAGCTCATGCTGACGCAGCACCCACCTTGTCAAACGTGTTCAAATAACCCACGAAACATGTTCAAATTTGTGGTCGGAAAAAGTTTCTGAACTTACGTTGGATTGTTGAATTCATAGTATCTCTATTGGGTTGAGATCTTGTGGGGCAGTCCAAAGCAAAGTCATAAGGACTTATGCGATCTCGTTGGGTAGTCCAAATCAAAGCCATAAGGGCTTATGCGATCTCGTGGGGCAGTCCAAAGCAAAGCCATAAGGGCTTATGCGATCTCGTGGGGCAGTCCAAAGCAAAGCCATAAGGGCTTATGCGATCTCGTGGGGCACTCCAAAGCAAAGCCACAAGGACTTATGCTCAAGGTGGACAATATCATACTATTGTGGAGATCCATGATTCCTAACAACCGGTACCAAAGTCATGCCCTAAACTTAGCCATGACAATAAAATCCTCAAATATCGAACAAAGAATTGTGAGCCTTAAAGGTGTAGTCAAAAGTGACTAAAGTGTCGAACAAATGATGTATTTTGTTCAAAGGCTCAAGAGAAAGGAGTCGAGCCTTGATTAAGGGAAGGCTATTCGAGAGCTCCATACACCTCAGGAGAGGCTTATAGTGTACTTTGTTCGAAGGGAGGATCGTTGGGATGAAGTCCCAGAGGAAGCTCTAATCATTTATTAACAAAGATTTAAGAACACAAATGAAATAAAAGTCCAAAACCTGAAATAAAAATCTAAAAATTAAGTTAAATCAACGTCAGTACAGCCTTGTCAAAGGCTCACCTATATATTACGCCTTTTAAGCCGTTTACATTGAATGCAGGCACACTCCCTTATGGTGGTGCTGAATGCCGCCGAATGCCGAGTGCCGGAGTGGGTTGTCTGCAGTTGATGCTGAGCTATTAAACGCCCCCACGCGGCTGGTGGGTGGCCGCAGACCACATCCATTCAACGCTCAATTCCCATAATTTGTACCATCAATAACTCAACTGCCTCCCATCCTCTTCAATACTCTTTAAGTTTTTGCCTACTTCCAACAAAAGAGAGGCACACAAACAACACATCAAGACAATCTACCTTTTCCTGTCCATGCCTTCCAAGCATTCCTAACTTCCTCCAATTGTTCATTGGGAATGCTTGTGTACTTGTCCAATTTCTCCACCCATTCTTTCCATGGGGGTCTTTCTATGTCTAGAAAGTTAGTTACCTCGGGTAATATCGCCGATCTGTAGAATTCATTCACTGACTTGACAATGTCGTGGGATTCGTTTAATGTGAGCAAGTCGGGCCTCTTTGGAGCTCCTGGTCGTTTTCTGTTGGAAAACCTGTTCCCTCTTAGGACTAAGACTTCAGCTGGAGCAATGGGCAGAACTATTCTAGAGAACTTGCTCAGTGACAATGCTATGATATCTCTTGGGAGCAGTTTCCGCTTCACGGCAATGGCTGTGCCTACCATCTTTCGAATCTGCCCAGGGTGTAATAAAAGCAGCATGAGAATAGCCCTTTGATTTAAAAGTACAACATTAACTAACAAATACTAATTTCTGATGGAGCCAACTTCATCCTTAAAGTATCATATAACGACTCAAAAAGTATAAAAAGGACGCCACCTTGCCACTTCCCATATCTCCTTCCAAGTCCTAAACCAGCAATAATGCCTTCCATTTCTTACCACTTTCGAGTACGATAAACGTGGAAATATGGGTTCGAACCTCCACCTCAAGATAAGAGTAGATAACTTTATGGTTCATGTTAGTGCCTCTCCATACACCATTTGTTCATAAGATTCTGAGTTTCTTCTTGAGGCTTTGACCCCAACGGAATGGTTTGTTGAGGATTGTTTGGAGGGAGTCCCACGTTGGCTAATTTAGGGACTGATCATGGGTTTATAAGTAAGAAATATATCTCTATTGGTATGAGACCATATGGAGACGTCCAAGGCAAAACCATGAGAGCTTATGCTCAAAGTGGACAAAATCATATAATTGTACGGTAGTGATTCCTAACCTGGTTTAATCTCTGACAGAGAAGCAAAAGCTTTTCAAACAAATTCTACTTTCTCTTGTCTGGATAGAGATTCTACTTCCACCTTCTATCCAGATAATAAGAATTAGTTTTGAATAGCAATAGTCAAGTGCAGAAAAGTTAACCTAGACATGTCTTGTGAGCTATTCCTATGAATTATAAACCTCAGGGAGTAAATGAAGGTTATGATGGTAGATATTGAACAGGTCAAGCTCATAAAGCTTGAACCCATAAACTCATATCTTCTGTCCATCAATGCTCAGGGACCATCAAATTATTAACTGGTTCCTATCATCTTAGAATTTAATTTCATGCAAATTGATTTCGAATAGGAATGGATCAAGTGCAAAAAAATTAAACCAGACATGTCTAATGGTGTAAGATGATCCTATGAGTTATGAACCTTGGGGAGTAAATGAAGGTTATGATGATAGATATTGAACAAGTCAAGCTTATAAAGACTATTTCTTAATTTTATTTGAAGGACTACTAGCACAGAAAAACCCCACTAGGCCACTGAGCATTGATTTCCAAAGGGGCAAAACAGTTCAAAAATGAAATAAGGCTGACAAGAAATTATCGAGTGGGGGACAAAAGAACAGTTATATACTAAGTTTTGGCTCCCATGTGACCAGAATCATGACCTAAGCTACAAGAGGTGTTAGAACGGAAAACCACCCAAATCTAAGCGACAGAGCTGCCAACGGAAATAAGAATAAATGAAGTAGACATGGACAACGGAAATAAGAACAAATTACGCACCAAAGAAAACAAAGTTAGAGAAAGACTAACTTGATGCAACATGAAAGATTCTCCCCAGATGGAGATCTCAACGAAATCATATCCAAGAGATGTTTCCAGCTTCCCACAAGAACAGTATAGGATTTTTCTGAAGTGTGAGGCGCCTATACGATCTTTCTCATCTGGCTCATGAAGCCATCTTGCACGAACACCCTGTGGAAGCTCTGATCCATTTCCAAGTTTACTGCATACTTCAAATGTATTCTCATAACTACCACTTAAGCTTGGAGAATGTTGATTTGGTTCCTTGATTCCTCCAACAAAAATATCGTTTTCTCCATCACTTTCCTCAAACTCAGAGTTCGACAAATCACTAGATGATACCCCATCTCCTGACTTGTGGACATATCCTGGAGATTGGTTGGTTCGAATCCTTGTTCTATACTTGGAACGTATTGTATAGTTATGAAAAGGGTGCTCCCCCTGTACGCAAAAAGAATCCACCTATGTTCTTCAACGCCATACAATTGTCTTCCAAATAACAGCACTAGACTATCAAATAATAACAAATCATGTATCTTGCAGTGAAGGGAGGTACAAACTGATCTTTATGTAACTAAATGAAGGAGATAAAAACCTACCTGAAACGAATTTAATATATCCTTAAATTCTGAGATGTGATAATCAATTTCAGTAGTTGTGAGCTTACTTTCAATTCCAATAAGCTTAGCAGGGAGGAGATAAGTATACTTCCGAACATCACACTCCCTTCTAGGATCAAAGCTCCTTGACAAGTGAAAAAAATGATGTAAAGTTACCACATTGTAGTAAAAACATACAAACGCATCATGCTAACGCTGAAACTTCATTTACTCACTTCAAAGCACCCAAAAAAAAAGAAAAAAAAAAAAGAGCACTTACCTCTGTGAAGGTACAATGCCAAAAACCCTGATATTTTCAGGAAGATAAAAGTTGATGTAATTAGCAAGCAAAATACCACAAGGGTCGCCCATCCATGCACTATCAGGGATTTCCATTTTTAAGGTTATTGTTGTAGCCAAGGAATGAACCTTGAAAATGAAAGAGAAAGAAAAAACAAATCAAAACAACCAATAAGATTACAAAAGTCATAAAATGAGATGCAACAAAGACATTCAGGATATTTACTCCTTTATCAGTTCGACTACTCCTTGCCCATGAGATTTTGTTCAGATCTCCATAGTTACTTTCACGAATTCCACCAGCTTTATATATTGCAGCTTCCAATTCTTGTTCAATTGCTACACATTAAAACTGTAATGCTTTAGGACATTCCATCCATGCATTAGCTGGGTACTTTGAACTGTACGAGGTTAATTTCTTATTATCATAACCAACATGGGCACTTAACATTTTTTAATGGTAAAAGAAACATTGAAAGACAAAGAAATGCTTATCCAATAAAATAAATGGAAATCTACGACAGATCCTATGAGATTAATATACATAAAACAATATATCAAGGTTGGTTAAGAAGTTAAGTGTATTTAATCAGATATTGATCAGCTGAATGCATATTAAGCTCAACTATTTCTGTTGGTTCAGTCTGCAGTTATATTTTAAATTTATTGTAGTTAGTAACTAATGCATGGTGCGTGCATCACTTCATTATCGCTGACAAAGTTTAATGGCATTAGTGTTGCTGATACATGTCCTTTTTATGTACTCTTTTAGCAGTAACTATTCTGCCACGCATCTCTAGTTCTCCCAAATCATGTAACAGCAAGCATGTTACAAAGTTCCCCTTGAAAACTTGCCTCTTAGATTACATTGTCTGAAATACATGGAATCCAATCTGTCAGTACATCATAGGAACGTCTGATAATAAGTTCCAAGGTTTCGAGCGCTAGTTGCAATAGATAGCTTGAACCATGAATGCTTTATCAATGAGATTCGGATATCAAATATCTCAAGGCAAGAACACTTGTCTGAGATTCGGATCACGCTTGAATGATTCTAAACATGCAACCTAAACTACATAGAATTACAAAGAAACTTATCCCTCGACTTAGGAAAGGTAAGAACACTTAGCGCTAATGATAAGGAATCACTCCAAGGGAAAATAAAATTCAGATTACCTTGTTGATCAGATATCCCAAGGCAAATCAGATATCTCAAGGCAAGAACACTTGATTGAGATTCGAGTCACTCCACAAGCAAGGTCGATCATGTCAAACTTGAATGATTCTAAACATGCAATCTAGACTTAATAGAATTGCAAAGAAACTTAGCCCCAGGCTAAAACAAAGCGAAAATGCTGTTTTTACTACATTTTCCAAATCTCCCTTGCAAAGATAACATACATGGCTTTATATAGCCTCAAAATGAAAACCCATAACCTTCTATGAAGCCTTTCAAGAGTTGTAACTTTCATATCTTATGACTACTATGTATACTTTATGGTCATAATTAGCCATGATGTAAATGTAACCTTAGTGAAATACCATAACTCATTTGTAAGTTTATATTGCATGATCGATGTCTTGGTTCATATCACAATTGGTCAGTGAATTTCAACTGTTTCTGTTAGTCACTGTGAACTAAATTGTTATAAATAGTTGTTGTACTTTACACTTGGCTAAGTAAGTAATTGAGCAACCACCATCACATTCACTACGAAAGTATGCAAATCAAGGACAGCAACAGAACATCCGGCGGATGTCATTGCCAATCCCCGACAGGAATTTTCATGACATTATGTAAATGATGTAAAAAGAAATGATGAAAAAAGCTCACTTGGATGTGATGATTGCTCGCGTTGCATTTGCAGCCCTGCATTTTTTAAACTCAAGAATTAATGAACTGGTCAAGGATTCACAAAAGGGTCGTCAAGAGAACCAGAGAGTAATATCAAATGAGACCTCTATAATCAGTCCCAACATAGCCAATCCGCATAACGACCTTCTTCTTCCGAAAAGCTTCCCATTTCCGGAGCTGGTCTGGGGCGCACTGAGTGGAAAGAGCATCGGTGGAAGCAGTAGAAGATGAGGAACAGCACAGCAGTCTAGGACTCAGACGAGAGGTCCACGAAACGAAATTAGGGTAGGGAAAACGGAAGCATGGAAATGAAGTTTTGTTTGCCCATGGGGAAAGCGGGAATCGCAGAGAAGAGACTGCCATGGCATCCAATCTTCGCGCTGTGTGGAGTTGGAGCAGTATCTAAGCCGCCATGTTTTACCTTTAACGACTACTACTTTTGGTGGATCGCGATGCCTATGAAGCCCAATACAAAAACACACCAGATCCTATTAAAAGTTACAAAACCCAAATCGGCTCCATAGTGGAAGCCCAAAAAGGCCCAGAGTGGAAGTCCAAATTGACCCATAATGAAAGCCAAAAATGGCCCATAGTTCAAGCCCAAATTAGCCGGCCCATAGTGGAAGCCCAAAGTCACCCATAAAGGAAGCACAAATTGGCCCATAGTTGAAGCCCAAGAAGGCCCATAATAGAACCCCAAATTAGCCCATAATGGATGCCCAAATTGACCAATAATGAAAGCCCAAATTAGCCCATAGTTGAAGCCCAAATCGGTCCATAGTGGAAGCCCAAATTGGCCCATAGTGGAAGCCGAAATAGGCCCATAGTGGAAGCCCAAATTGGCCCATAGCGGAAACCGAAATGGACCATTAGTGGGAGCCCAAATCGGCCCACAATGGAAGCCCAAATCCGCCCATAGTGGGAGCCCAAATGGACCCATAGTGTGAGCCCAAATCGGCCCATAATGGAGGCCCGTTCAAATAGGCCCATAGTGGAAGCCCAATTCGGCCCACAATGGAAACCCAATTCGGCCCACAGTAGAAGCCCAATTCGGCTCACAGTGGAACACAAATTGGGCCCATAGTGAAAGCCCAAATAGGCACAAAATGGAAGCCCAAATCGGTCGGCCCACAGTGGAAGCCCAAATCTACCGGCCCACAGTAAAAGCCCAAATCGGCCCATAGTGGAGCCCAAATTGGGCGGCCTACAGTGGGAGCTCAAATCGGCCCACAGTTGGAGCCCAAATCGGCACACAGTGGAAGTCCAAATAGGCTGGCCCACAGTTGAGGCCCAATTCAGCCCATAGTGGAGGCCCAAATCGGCCCACATTGGTGGCCCAGCCTAAATCGGCCCACAGGAGAGGCCCAGTTAAAAATCGGCCCACAGTGAAAGCCCAAATCGGCAGGCCCACAGTGGTCGCCCAAAGTCGGCCCATAGTGGAAGCCCAAATCGGCCCATAGTGGAGGCCGAATCCGCCCACAGTGGGAGCCCAAAAATCGGTCGGCTCGCAATGGAGGCCCAAATCGGCCCATAGTGGGAAGGCCAAATCGGGCCACAGTGGAGGCCCAGTTCAAATCGGCCGACTGTGGAAGCCCAAATCGGTCGGCCCACAGTAGAGGCACAGCCCAAATCGGCCGAATGTGGAGGCCCAGCCCAAACATGCCGGCCCACAGTTGAGGCCCAAATCGGCCGGCCCACAGTTGAGGCCCAAATCTGCCGGCGTACAGTGGAGGCCCAGCGCAAATCGGCTCCATAGTGGAAGCCCAAATAGGCGCATAGTGGAAGCCGAAATCAGCCCCATAGTGGAAGCCCAAATCGGCGCATAGTGGAAGCCCAAATCGGCCCATAGTGGAAGCCCAAATCGGCCGGCCCACAGTGGAGGCCCAAACCGGCCCATAGTGGAAGCCGAAATCGGCCGGCCCAGAATGGTGGCCCAAAACGGCTGGCCCACAGTGGAAACCCGAATTGGCCGATAGTGGAAGCCCTAATCGGCCCACAGTGGAATACCAAATTGGGCTCATAGTGGAAGCCCAAATCAACCGGCCACAGTGGAGGCCCAAATTGTCTGGCCCACAGTGGAGGCCCAAATCGGCCGACAGTTGAAGCCCAAATCGGCCGACCCATAGTGAGGCCGAAATCGGCCCATAGTGGAAGCCCAAAATCGTCCCACAGTGGAAGCCCACATTGGCCGCCCCACAGTAGAAGTCCAAACGGGCTATAGTGGAGGCCCAAACGGCCCACATTTGAAGCCCAAATCGGCCGGCCCATAGTGGAGGCACAGCCCAAATCGGCCGACTGTGGAGGCCCAGCCTCAACCAGCCGGCCGATGTGGAGGCCCTGCCAAATCGGCCGTCCCACAGTTGAGGCCCAAATCTGCCGGCGTACAGTAGAGGCCCAAATCGGCCCACAGTGGTGGCCGAGTTCAAATCGGCTCCTTAGTTTAAGCCCACGTTCGCCCATAATTGAGGTCAACTTAGTCCGTAGTGGTGGTTGAAGCCCGATTTTGTTAAACTGGCGTATCTAGCATGGACCTTCGTCATACGAGGGAGAAATGAATCCCTTTACCCTCCGAACTTCCTTGTCCCACCTCCTGTTCTTTGCTCAATCCTCTCCGCCTTTAAGATTAGCAAGCTCAGCCATTGTTGTCGCCGGAGCTGTAGGCGCAGGTTATGGGCTGGGGCTGTGGTTTATATGGTCAACTGCTAAGTGTCATCAAATGAAGTCCTAGAGAGTTGGGTTGTATTGTGGGTAAGTCTCAAATGAACTTCAACTGCATAATGAACTACTACAAAATTGGGTTGATAGTGCTCATTTTCTTATGCATATGAATGTTATATTGGTTGAGAATATTTGGCATGGTCTTGAAAAATGGAGCTTGACCATTTAGGGTGAAACTCCAGTGCCCATTTCTATCCTGATCAGTACGCTATTGATGCATTGTCACTTCCAGTTTTGTGGATGAATCACATATGACTTGCTTTTATTCCTCGTTTGGGTTATGCATGGAAGAAAATAAGGTCCATTTAATGATTCCAAACCTATGTACTTGACTTAGCTTCGAGTCCTCCCTTCTTCTGCTTGTCCCAAGTCAGAATAGTGTCATTGTGCTAATTGCCCTTAACTAGGAGAACGTAGGATGTAACCGCAAATGCCCACTTCTAGCAGATATTGTCTTTTTGGGTTTCTCCTCAACGCTTTAGGCTTTAAAACGCATCTGTTAGGGAAAGGTATCCACACCCTTATAAAGGGTGTTTCGTTCTCGTTCCCAACCAACGTGGGACATCACATAGGAGCACTTCCTCAATGATAACATAACAGTTGGGTTGAATATGTTCTCTTTCTATTGAAATTTAAATGTTCTGTTTTTTCTTTTTTATTTAAAAAAATGGGTTGAATATGTTTGTTATTGTATGATGGCATGTTGTATGATATGATGTATGTTGATCATGAAAATAGACATGGACTCGGTGAAATTGAATTCTCCGTGAAGATGCGGAGTACCAACGGCCAGCTTTGGGATAGTCAAAAGAAAGAAACTAGTTACCCTACCTACTGCTTTCGATGTGAGTTGTGTGGCATTATTTATTTTTTGTCATGAAAATAAATGTTTTTGGACATAATGCATGCATATTATGTTTGACGATTAAGGAAGTTGTGATAAGGGTTACACGCTCTGTGAATCGGGTAACCAGTCACTAGTGGTCACTCTAGGAAGTGATTGTAGAAAATGGTTACCAAAGTAAGGGCTACACGTTGTGTGAATTGGGTAACTAGCCATAGATAATTAGTAAAGACGGATGTTAATTTTCATGTGGTAATAGTTACACGTGTGAATCACTTTAAAGGGGTGATTGTTGAAAATGGGTTTAGTGGAAAAATTACATGTAGTGTGTTTTGGGTAATTAACGACATCCCTCGATTTCGTTTGATTAGCCTTATGATGTTTATGTATTTGATCCCAATAGAGAAGTTTCTTATCAAGTATTTTAATACTCATCCTGTTTTTTAAATGATCTTTAGGCGAGGCCGTAACACAGAAGGGACGTGTTAAGGGTATCGGGCACGTGATTGTAATAAATTATTTGGTCGGCATATTTTTCATTTATTTTAAAACTGTAAAATCATTTTTGTTAGGCTCCGACTGCTATGTTTTTTACTGTTATGGAGTTGGTAGCCTTATTGGTTTAAAAGCTTTCATCAAAGCATGCTTTCCTATAAAGAAAAGGGTTAAATCATCAAATTTGTGAATATCTGGGGGAACTTTCCACCTCTATTTTTTCATTTTTTTCAGGTTGTAAAGGAGGCCATTGCTGCAGGTGTTGATGAATGATGGGTATGATGCGGATATAAAGAAATCTGTGAGGAAGGCAGCTCATGGCTTGAGCTTGACAAGGGAGCTCGTATTCTCGTCTCCAACCGATGTGGGAATATAAAGAAATTTATAAAGAAGGCTTTGTTCTCGTCCCCAACCGACGTGGGATCTCAACATAGCTTGCAAAAGTGAGAGTTGACTTCAGATTGTCTATTGTGAATGGTCAAATGTGGATCTCAGTTTCAATATATATTGTTGTAGCCCACGTTAATATTATATACATTTATAAAATAATATGTGGTCACAAATTGTTGGCATTGTCAACTGTGAATTGGCCTTCATATCATCTTCAACTCCCTCTCTCTCACCTTCTATAATGATTGTCTGTGATTCTTCAATCTACTTTCTTTTATGTTTCATGGAAATTCACCTCTTTATTTGAGGTATTGTCCGATTCTAATACGTCGGATTTAGAATATGTTCAAGCATACATTGTTATTTAAAAAAGAAGATTATAACCACATGAAACAACCGATCATAGCTCGGTAAATATAGTATATACCATCTCAAATATCGATGGTTTGATTCACGTTCTTAAACTCAAAAAAAGAAAGAAAAAAAAAAGTTCGTCAAGAACTCTCTATTCATTTAGAATCTCTAGCGAATACCTTAACCAAGTTAGGGTAGCATCCTTTATCATTTCCATGTCCAAAGGACAAAGTAGAAACAGGTGATTCAACATTCTCCTCTTGGTTGCCGTTGTCATCGTCTACCCTCGAATCAAATGATAATCTCCTCGGGCTTCCAGGTGTCCCTCTTTCCCTGCTAGAACTGGAAGACGAAGATGACAACAAAGAGCCGGGCGACCGAGGCTGCAGACTGGCCTTCATAGAAAGCTTTCTGAAGACATTGTTGAGGAAACTGGCTCTATGAAAGGTCTTAGAAGAGTTAAGGCCGAGGGGGGAGTTAGGATTAGTGGAGAAATAGGAAGGTGGGGGCGTGAGAGGAGAGAGGAAGGCCCCATTTTCAGGGAAATTGGCCTTGGGAGTGCCTGGCTCTGACTCCCACTGGAATGGCACCGAGGCTGATACTCCTGTGTGGTAATCTTCTT